AAAAAAAAAAAAAAAAAAAAAAGAGAGAGAGAGAGAGAGAGAGAATACAAAAGGAAACCTAGAACTAAAAATGTAAGAAAGAAAAAGAAAATGACCAGCATACACAGTACTTTTTAACATGGATGAAGATTAATTTAATAAGATCCATCCGTCATAAAAGAGAGATTTTACAAGCATAAATGCCTTCCAGGAAATTATGTTTGATCAAGATAATTTAGTAGCTAGAAAATATTCACACCACCCTAAAACTATATTCCAAGTAGTTCAACTGACACGAAGGGATGTAAGTAGCAGATCCTTACAACATGCAACTACTTTTACATGGGACAGTAGAGTATATGATGTTTATCAACAAATCTTGATTTCTAATAAATGATTCTGCGAAACAGCAAGGATATTTTCTGGAAGGAAGACTAATCTACATGACACATTTTGAATTGACAAAAAATTGCATACTTGAAAGAAAAAAACTGAAGGTTTCAAATAAAATCAAACTTGACACAAAACAGAAAATATATTGAAACTGGGAACCGAAAAATGTCCCTATTAGCTTGAAAGCTTATGAAACCAGGAGAATTTTGGGCTTGTTTTAAAAAGGAAAAAAAAAAGTTTAAAATTATATTGCAGCTGAAGGTCAAATTATGAGTTAACAAAGTATGTCGTCTAATTCAACCACATTCTTTCCAAGTCAGGAATGTAATATCACATCCAAATTATGGGAGAATCCCGAGAAGAAGTTTTATCTGCAAGAGGATATATCATAGGAAAGTTATATCTCAAGTAGATGCAACATCGCTGCCTGGAAGAGCTTTGTCATATTGCTAACAATCACATCATTAGCTGTTAAAGACACGAATGGAGTTTCAGTGAAGCTCGTAGTGACCAACAACAACAACAACAACAACAACAACATACCCAGTATTCCCAACTGGTTGGGGATCTGGGGGGTCAGTTACGCAGACCTTACCCTTGTAATTATACAAGGAGGCTGTTTCCGTAGCGACCCAAGGTGCATTGCGTCGTTTGATATATTTTTTTTCTAGAAACTTCACTAATAGAAGAAGCACTAGAATTTAATTGAGCCATTTAAACTTCACTAATACAAGAAGCTCGTAGTGACCGAAACATAGAAATTCCATTAAGCATTTAATACATACTTTTATACGGCTACATGCTTCTACAACATACAATGACAAAAATTGATCTTAATAGAACAATCAACACATTCAACTTGTATAGAACAACAAAGCCGCCCTCTTCTTACAAATAATATCAGAAATCACACATTCCTGCAACATATATAACAATATAAGATTATTGCCTAAAACAAGTGTGGGCTTGATAGGAGGAATTCACAGTAGTATATGGGCACCAGAAAAAAAATAACTGAATATAAAGCATGGAAATAATTTTATTGACAGCACGATAATAAAATAACAAATTCATAAGTTATATTCTTTCAATTTTTCAATTTCAATTAATAACCAACTGCATATGTTAAAACTGCATACCGGACAGCGAAGATTGACAGGAATGAAATCAGCAACAACTTCAATATCACTATCACTATCAGCATTTTCTGTTGCAGCCCCACCACCAACACATCTACGAACACGAGCCAGGGCATCCTCAAAGAGTTCTCCTTCCGACTCTTTTGGAATAATGTTAAGAACCTAGTCAGAGAAGGCCTAGTTAAAATCATGTCTCCACACATAGTAAGCTGGACACAAACATTTTCAAAACTCTCAACAAACTTGTGATCCAGTGGAAGATACCAAAAGCTAATGCAACTATACAAGCTAAAGCATACTCAAGCAAGAAAAACAAAGAACCGTCTTATCCAGATTAACCTACCAACAGTATGAACAGAAGAATTGCATAACCAATGAAGAAATTAACAAAATTACCAGACTCCAGAAGGCATATACAATATGAAAGCAGTAAGGTTAATAACATGCCCCTTTATCACTTCAGGCTTTCAGCAGAGAAAACCACATCATAAAAGTAGTCCAGTGTTCTCAATGGCAGATGGCAGAAAACGGCTGCAAGATGAAATCCTGCCATAGCGACCGCCGGCCGCAATTGCGGCCCGTGGCGCCACCATAACCGCTATCCTTCATAAATTTCTTATGGCGGTCAGGCAGAAATCCGCCACACCATACTGCCATGGAGAAATTTTGATAACAACGATGAAGTCAGAACACAATAATTATGAATAAACAGCATACCTGCTGCAAAGTGCGTCTCTTGACAATTCTAACTCCCACACAAAAGATGCGCGTATCACATCCTCCTAAGAAGATCTTATTAATTCCATCTCTGGTGAAAGGCGTAATCTAAACACAGAACAACACGTGAAGAAAACATCAAAAGCAATGTAGTACAGGAAATAACAGTTCAAATATTTAGTAGAATTGATGACTTTCCCATTCCCAAACAGGAAAAAATGAGGAAAACATATAGAGGATGACATTAATGATGGAAAAAGTAACGGAACCGAAATGATCCAATATCACCAAATATTTAGGGAATCAGCTAGTAAAATTTACAGAACTTCCCACAAGCAAATATTGTAGACACAACTAGTACTTCTTATGTTCGGTAAACAATTAAAAAGGTAAAATATGTTAATTCAGAAAGAAAAACTCACAACGGGGCCATCATCCCGACCATTAGCTCCCAACAACTGAGAACCAGGTCTGTTTATTGCCCTCACTGGTACACCTGTTGAACCAGAAAAGGTAAAACTAAGAAGTATAGTGAAATGTAGCACATTAAGTAAACTAACCGTAAAAGCAGCTCAATAATTTACACGAACACAAAAAGACAACAAAATTTCCATAAGAATGCATCCTCGAGCAGATCCTAGACAAGCTGTGAGCACGGTGAACAAAATAATATCCATGACCACCATATGTTCTAGTCTCCAAATAAAATCACAGAAAAGTTTACCAATAAATAAAATTACCCAAGAAGAAGAAGTTTAATATTATTATTAGACCATGCACCTACAAGTGAAATATCTCAGGGGAAGTTATACCATTGATCTGTAGATCGGCATATTGTGGCCACTGCATCCTGAATGTCACCTTGTCATTAAGAAGCATGCACCACGCCTAAACATCGATACCATGCAAACATAAGTGTCAAAGCAATCGACGTATCTAAACATGCTCAAAATAGAACTGTTACAATGACAGCGCATTCTCATCAACCTGAACATCATATTCTTGTTTAGACAATAAGTCCCTATCCGCACGCGTGAGTTGAAATGTTTTCTCAATGTTCTGACTAGGACTTGAGCTGGAACACCAGGTCACAATTAAGCATCGATACGCCAAGTGCAACAACAATGGCAAAAGCAAAGATCAGATTAAAACATCCAAAATTGCATTCAAAACAAAACATTTGAACAGCAGCAGAATTTCTTTCCAAGATAGCAGCTATCTCCTTGGGCGAAATAACAGCCAGAATAAAATAGAAATGCAAACAAATCCAACTGCAGCAATGTTACTGGAGAACTCAAAATGTAAACACCATATCTACATGAAATGTGAAACTTGAAAATTAGAAAATGAATTTTATCTTCAACAGACACTCTGTATCGCTTATCAAAAGAAGAAAGTATCATTGCTGATCCACATGTATCTCAGAGATACGCCAAGTGTGATTCCATGCTTGTTTACTAATTTTTTATGCATGAAACAGTAATATTCCTGTTTAACATTTGGAGCAGCCCTTTTGTTCTTTATTGCTAGACTTAAGAAATTTTGGCTCACTTTGTTGCAATTTGTAAGGGTGTGATTGGATAAGGAATTTGATAGGTTTTAACGGTGTTAGAATTAAAATAAAAATAAAAATTTGCTTACTTAATAAGCTACATTGTTTAAATCTATATATATTTATATATATAAAGGGGTATTTATTTACTATAAATAGTATGGTTTTCTGCAAAAAAAAAAAAAAAAAAAAAAAAAAA